TCTCTTGAATTCTTTCCTCATACAGTACTTTTGGTGTTACATATGTTGTATCTTTTAAAATTTGTTTTGTAATCTTTATCTAGATTTCTTGAAGTTTTCTACCATTCATTTTCATTCGTTTCATATTCATTTGTTTAATTTCTTGAGCCGATCAACCTGTGTAGGATATTTGGTTCAAGTTTTTTTTTTTTATTAACACATCGGATCATTATTTAGTTGTAGCTACAGTTAGAGTAAGAGGTAGATGGGAAAAGAGGAAGGTGGCAACAACAAGTAAGAGGGAGGTGAAAGTGTATAAACTAAGGGAGGAGGAAGTTCGGGTGAGATATAAGCGACTATTGACAGAAAGGTGGGCTAGTGCAAAGATGAGTAGTGGGGGGGTTGAAGAGGGTTGGAATAGTTTTAAAAATGCAGTATTAGAATGTGGGGCAGAACTTTGTGGTTATAGGAGGGTGGGAGCAGGAGGAAAGAGGAGTGATTGGTGGAATGATGAAGTAAAGGGTGTGATAAAAGAGAAAAAGGTAGCTTATGAGAGGTTTTTACAAAGCAGAAGTGTTTACAAGAAGAGCAGAGTATATGGAGAGTAAAAGAAAGGTAAAGAAAGTGGTGAGAGAGTGCAAAAGGAGAGCAGATGATAGTGGGAGAGGCACTGTCAAGAAATTTTAATGAAAATAAGAAAAAATTTTGGAGTGAGTTAAACAAGTTAAGAAAGCCTAGGGAAAGTATGGATTTGTCAGTTAAAAACAGAGTAGGGGAGTTAGTAGATGGGGAGATGGAGGTATTAGGGTAGATGGCGAAATATTTTGAGGAACTTTTAAATGTTAAGGAAGAAACAGAGGCAGTAATTTCATGCACTGGTCAGGGAGGTATACCATCTTCTAGGAGTGAAGAAGAGCAGAATGTAAGTGTGGGGGAGGTACGTGAGGCAAATTACGTAAAATGAAAGGGGGTAAAGCAGCTGGAACTGATGGGATCATGACAGAAATATTAAAAGCAGGGGGGGATATAGTGTTGGAGTGGTTGGTACTTTTGTTTAATAAATGTATGAAAGAGGGGAAGGTACCTAGGGATTGGCGGAGAGCATGTATAGTCCCTTTATATAAAGGGAAAGGGGACAAAAGAGACTGTAAAAATTATAGAGGAATAAGTTTACTGAGTATACCAGGAAAAGTTCTAGGTAGTAGGTTGGTAGACAGCAACTGCCCAGGGAGGTACTACCATCCTGCCAAGTGAGTGTAAAACTGAAGCCTGTAATTGTTTTACACGATGGTAAGATTGCTTGTGTCTTTTTTTTATCTGTCTCATACACATGCAAGATTTCAGGTATGTCTTGCTACTTCTACTTACACTTAGGTCACACTACACATACATGTACAAGCATATATATACACACCCCTTTGGGTTTTCTTCTATTTTCTTTCTAGTTCTTGTTCTTGTTTATTCTCCTCTTACCTCCATGGGTAGTGGACAGAATTCTTCCTCCATAAGCCATGCGTTTGTAGAGGGCGACTAAAATGCCGGGAGCAAGGAGCTAGTAACCCCTTCTCCTGTATATTTTCTAATTGTAAAAGGAGAAATTTCGTTTTCCTTTTGGGCCACCCCGCCTCGGTGGGATACGGCCGAGTGTGTTGAAAGAATGACATGACCAGGAAAAGTGTACTTAGGGTTATAATTTGAAGAATTAGAGGTAGCAGAAATGGGAGATTGTGGATGAGCAAGGAGTTTCAGTGGGGTAGGGATGTGTAGATCAAGTGTTTACATTATAGCATGTGAACGTATTTAGATAAAGGTAGGAGTTTTTATGGCATTTCATGGATTTAGGAAAGGCTATATAGAGTGGTATAGAGGAGCAATGTGGCAGATTTTTGCAAGTATTTGGAATAGGTGGTAAGTTATTAAATCTTAAAGAGTTTTTATGAGGATAGTGAGGCTCAGGTTGTGTTTTGTAGAAAGGAAAGGAGACTACTTCCCGGTATAAGTAGGTCTTAGACAGGGTGTGTAATTCACCCTGTTGTTTAATATATTTATAGATGGGGTTGTTTAAAGAAGTAAATGAGGGTGTTCGGAGAAAGGGTGGATTGAAATTTTGGGGAATCAATTCAAAGGGGAATTGGACACAACGTTACATTTTTGCTGATGATACTGTGCATTATGGGAGATTCTAAAGAAAAATGCAAGGTTATGGATGAGTTTGGGCAATGTGTATAAAGGTAGAAAGTTGAAAGAGAACATAGAAAAGAGTAAGGTGATGAGGGTGTCAAATGATTTAGATAAAGAAAAATTGGGATATCAAATTGGGGAGGAGGAGTATGGAAGAAGTGAAATGTTTTCAGATACTTGGGAGTTGACGTGTCAGAGGATGGATTTATGAAGGATGAGGTTAATCATAGAATTGATGAGGGAAAAAAGGTGAGTGGTGCGTTGAGGTATATGTGGAGTCAAAAACGTTATCTATGGAGGCAAAGAAGGGAATGTATGAAAGTATAGTAGTACCAACACTCTTATATGGGTGTGAAGCTTGGGTGGTAAATGCAGCAGCGAGGAGACGGTTGGAGGCAGTGGAGATGTCCTGTTTAAGGGCAATGTTGTGGTGTAAATATTATGCAGAAAATTCAGTGTGTGGAAATTAGGAAAAGGTGTGGAGTTAATAAAAGTATTAGTCAGAGGGCAGAAGAGGGGTTGTTGAGGTGGTTTTGGTCATTTAGAGAGAATGGATCAAAGTAAAATGACATGGAAAGCATATAAATCTATAGGGGAAGGAAGGCGGGGTAGGGGTCGTCCTCAAAGGGTTGGAGAGAGGGGGTAAAGGAGGTTTTGTGGGCAAGGGGCTTGGACTTCCAGCAAGCGTGCGTGAGCATGTTAGATAGGAGTGAATGGAGACGAATGGTACTTGGGACCTGACGATCTGTTGGAGTGTGAGCAGGGTAATATTTAGTGAGGGGATTCAGGGAAACCGGTTATTTTCATATAGTCGGACTTGAGTCCTGGAAATTGGAAGTACAATGCCTGCACTTTAAAGGAGGGGTTTGGGATATTGGCAGTTTGAAGGGATATGTTGTGTATCTTTATATGTGTATGCTTCTAAACTGTTGTATTCTAAGCACCTCTGCAAAAACAGTGATAATATGCGAGTGTGGTGAAAGTGTTGAATGATGATGAAAGTATTTTCTTTTTGGGGATTTTCTTTCTTTTTTGGGTCACTCTGCCTCGGTGGGAGACGGCCGACTTGTTGAAAAAAACAAAAAAAATCAGCCATTTCCCACCAAGATTGGGTGACCTGAGAAAGAAAAGCTTTAATCATCATTCACTCCATCACTGTCTTGCCAGAGGCACGCTTACACTAGTTATAAAACTGCAACATTAACACCCCTCCTTCAGAGTGCAGGCACTGTACTTCCCATCTCCAGGACTCAAGACCGGCCTGCTGGTTTCCCTGAATCCCATCATAGATATTACCCGGCTCACACTCCAACAGCATGTGTCCATTTTCTTCTTTTTAACACGCTTGTGCTTGCGTGCTGGAAGTCCAAGCCCCTTGCAGACAAAACCTCCTCTACCCTCGCCCTCACACCTTTCCTAGGCCAACCTCTACCCTGCCTTCCCTCCACTAGAGATTTATACACTCTTGAAGTCATTCTATTTTGTTCCATCCTCTCTACATGTCCAAACCACCTCAACAACCCCTCCTCAGCCCTCTGGATGTTCCTGCTCCTCCTTTTAATTTCCAGACTACGAATTCAATGCATTATATTCACACCACACATTGCCCTCAGACATGACATATCCACTGCCTCCAGCTTTCTCCTTGTTGGAACATTCACCACCCATGCTTTGCACCCATATAAGAGTGTTGGTATAGCTATACTCTCATACATTTCCCTCTTTGCTTCCATGGAGAAAGTTCTTTGTCTCCACAGACTCTTCAGTGTACCACTCGCCTTTTTCCCCTCGTCAATTATATGATTCACCTCATCTTTCATAGACCTTATAAATTTTGCATCATCAATAAACACATTTATGTAGAAGTCCACTGTTGTTTGTGAAGTTTGACTTCTGGGTCCACCTTTGAAGTTTGTTTGCTGATATGACCTAGCTTATCCTATTTTTGAAGCCATGTGTGGTAATATGGTTATTTTTATTACTTCATATTTCTTCTGACTATTTCACTTTTGTACTTGTATATCATAAAACTGTTTTATACTGTCCTTATTGCTTATTTTGAGTTGAATCTTGATCCCCTTTGTCATAGACACTGGTATGTCAGCTTAATGCAGTCTCCTTTATCTCTTCATTTTTTTTTTTTAACAAGTCTGCCGTCTCCCACCGAGGCAGGGTGACCCAAAAAGAAAGAAAATCCCCAAAAAGAAAATACTTTCATCATCATTCAACACTTTCACCTCACTCACACATAATCACTGTCAAAAAAAAAAGATAAAATCTTTTCATGTATAGTAGTCGTATCTTCTTTTGATTATTGTTCTTAGGCATGTGTATGATACACTCACAATCCCATAGGTTTTAAATTTCAATGTACTATATACATTTGAATATGTTTAGAGTTTGCCTCCACTCCTACTATCCTTTGTGTGTGTTCATTTGCTCTAGGTTTCTCAGGTGTTTTGATTCCCCATGTCCCCTTGTCCTGATTCTACCTCGCTTGAATTAAATGTGAGGTCATATTTCTCTATTCAGTGTCCATTCTGTGAACAATCAATGTGCCAACTTCGAACTCCAGTCCTTCAAAGATGATTTGTGGTGTTCATCCTTTGGAAAGTAGCTGGTGTTAAGTTACATATAAAAGCTGTACTCCATTCCATATGTTAAGATATTTTTTATATTAATCTTGAAAATTTGTTTTATCTTTACAGAAAACAATAAGTATGAAGAAAATGAAGAGCAAATTTGAGTATTAAAGAGACAAAGAATAGAAAAACATTTAAAGGATTCTAATGAAAACGATGAAGGAAAAAATAATGCGCCAGCTGGTTCTGAATGTTAAGGCAAGCAAAGTACCAAATGATAGCTTTCATAGCTTGCTTAAGGAAACCATTGAGAATATGTCAGAGATGCTGTCTTTATGCCTCAAAAATGTTAATAATAATTGAATCTAAATGGAATGTAGGTCAGTATTCTCAAGTAGCAACAGAAAAAGCTGGAAAACATGTGTTGAAACAGCTACATGCCATACAGAATAACTTCAAAATAATGGAGAATGAATTGGAAAGCAATATTAGGCTTTATATTGCTGGAATGTGTAAAACAGAGTCTATAGGTAATGTTGATGCACAAACTGAGGAGAGTGTTGCACGCACTAAATCTGCCTCCAGAATTAATGAAAGTGTGGAAAGTGATGTAAAAAATTGAGCAAAAGGAGACATTAGCTGTGGTTTGTGAAAATGAAAACTCTGTTATATGTAGAGATAGTGAGATGACAAATCGTATGCAGTAAGAGGAGCCAAAGAAAGACCTCTGAATGTGAAGAGAGTGATGCTCAAAAAATGAACGATATTGGCAAAAGTTCCAGCACTGTACGTGCAAATGATGAAGAAAAGAGGTAAAGACACACCAATGGAGGTTGATGATAGCCAAGACTCCAGTAAGGCTCTATTAGATCTGAGGATGAACACTCTCTTCCAGATCTTCAAAATGCTATAGATGGAATTTTAAGTGATAGGAGCAATGATATTGATGGTGCTCTAGAAGAAATTGATGAGAACAATGATATTGATAACACTCTTGAGGTGGAATTGATGGCAGAGTAGATTTTGATAAACTAATTACAGTTGAAAAAGAAAATGCTAGGAAAGCACAAGGCTCACAAGATCTACCACAGAGAAAGAAAAATAGAAAGATGATGGGGAATTGGAGACCATGGATAAAAGAAGGAAGAGCCAGAAGGAAAAAGACTGTGATGATAGAGACGGCACTAAAGATCATAGCGAGGATGAAGATGATGTCAAGAGTCCAGATTTTCAAAGAGGCTGAGGAAAATAAACAGAGAATCTGTCAGGGAATCTATTGATGATGATGATTCTGAAGCAGAACTTCAGAAAAGTTCTAGCACTAAAACTTTAAGAAAATCTAGTAGGAGAAAGTTGAGTAAAAGTGAAAAAGCTGAGAGTGATAATGAAGAAATAGTAAAAGAAGAAAATAAAAGGAGCACTAAGAGAGTTGATCAGTCTGCAAGAAATGGAATGCTAGACAGTGGAGAGAGTGAAGAAGAAAGATCTGAGAAATTGGATAAAGTTGATTCAAGAAAAAAGAGATCTTTAAGGAGACAAGATGATGGTGATAGCAGTATGAAAGAGTGTGACGATGAGGCTTGTGATGAAGAAGCCGTGAAAGAAAAAGAGAAAGAGGGTGTTGGTCGTATAAGAGTTAAGAAGATTTAATGAAAATTGATGGGGATGATGATGGTACAAAGATGAAAAAAAAATAAAAGAAGAGGATGTTGGTTGTATAAGAGTTAAGAAAGAATTAATGACAGTTGATGATGGTGACGGTATAAAAGACGAAAAAGAAATAAATAAAGAGGATATTGGTCGTATAAGAGTTAAGAAAGATTTAATGATAAATGAAGATGATGGTACAGAAAATATAAAGGATGAAAAAGAATCAAAAGATCTTATTGGTCGTATAAGAATTAAGAAAAATTTGATGGCAGTTGAAGTTGATACAAAAAATATAACGATGAAAAGAAGTAAAAAAAGAGATTATTGGTCGTATAAGAGTTAAGAAAGATCTAATGGAAGTTGATGGTGATGATGCAACAGATGAGAAAGATAAAGAAATAAAGAGAGAGATTGTTGGTCGTATAAGAGTTAAGAAGGATCTAATGGAGTTGATGATTCCAGAAGTAAGAAATTAAAGGAAGTGGTTGAACAAAGTGAAGACGAAGAACACGTGTAAATGAGGAAAGTAATGATGAAGAAAATGAGGAAAAAAATGTGGAAAGGGGCAAGAAACATTCCAAGAAAAGGGGATGTAAAGAAGAGGAGAAAAATAAGAAGGGTAAACAAACTGACGAGAGGGTACTAAGGAAAAGAAATAAACAAAATAAAGAGGAAGAGGATACAAAAAAAAAGAGTAAAAAGACATAAGGGGAACAAAGGGAAAATGAGAAGGAAAAATCTCTGGAAAAAACAAGATCGCCTAGAAAACGAAGGAATAGAAAAGCTGATGAAGATGAGGATGAGATGTTCTTTTGGGACTTGTTGAAGAGAGTTCAGAAAGTTCAGAAGAAGAAGACACTGATCAAGAAATGAAAAGACGAGAGGCTGACAGAGAGTCGGTAAAAAAGAGGGAAGGGAGGGACTCGAAAAAAATGAACAAAGTATCTAAGGATGAGGATGATGATGACGACTTGAGTAAAACTAAAAAGAGAAAAATTTCAGATAGAAGAAATAGTAAAAAGTAGATACAGACAATGAGGAAAACATTACTGAAGAACAGGAAGAAGAAGCAAACAAGAGAAGCATACAAAATCCAGCAGGAATCAGAAAAAGAAAGAAAGTGTTGATGAAGAAAACCGGGAAAATAAAAATGCATAGCATCATTGTTAGCATCTGATTCAGACAAAGATGAAACACATGATATGACACATGCTGAGAAAGAGACAAAAGATGATAGCAAAATGATTGTTAGTGAAACCAGTTCAGGGGAAAGTGCTGTTGAAACCAAAAAAAGAACTCTCACATCTTCAGCATCAGAAACTGAAAAGAAAGAAAAAAAATGAAGAAAAAATCCAAAGATGGTAAATCACAGACAAAGAAATGACAACCAAAAAGCAAAAGCTGCACTCTTGGAAAGTGAAAGTGAAGATGATCTTGAAGACAAGCCCAAGCCTCGTTGTAAAAAGAAAAACTATAAAATTACTTCTGCCGATAATGATAAAAATGCAAAACGACAACATTTAAGAAAACATTTGGAATGCACTTACTGATGAAGAAAGAGAAATACTGAAAGAAAAGCAGCTGAATGGAAAATGTCAGGTGGACCTTAAGGAGATTGGTCAAGCAATAAAAGAAAAAATTGAGGAAGATGATTATGTGTACGTGTCTGATTTCCCAGAGCTTTACTCAAATATTGGACATGTATCAGACAGTGATAACTGTGATGCAGATGAAGAAGAATCTGACAAGGAATTTACAAAACTAATGAGGTAAGTATTATTTTTACCTTTGGTTATTGTAGTATATATTCTTAAACAAAATGGGAATTGACACAGTTGCTTTTTGCTGCGGTTGGAGGCAGTGGAGATGTCCTGTCTAAGGGCAATGTGTGGTGTAAATATTATGCAGAAAATTCGGAGTGTGGAAATTAGGAGATGGTGTGGAGTTAATAAAAGTATTAGTCAGGGATGAAGAGGGGTTGTTGAGGTGGTTTGGTCATTTAGAGAGAATGGATCAAAGTAAATGACATGGAGAGCGTATAAATCTGTAGGGGAAGGAAGGCGGGGTAGAGGTCGTCCTCGAAAAGGTAGGAGGGAGGGGGTAAAGGAGGTTTTGTGGGCAAGGGGCTTGGACTTCCAGCAAGCGTGCGTGAGCGTATTAGATAGGAGTGAATGGGAGATGATGGTATTTGGGACCTGACGATCTGTTGGAGTGTGAGCAGGGTAATATATAGTGAAGGGATTCAGGGAAACCGGTTATTTTTATATAGCTGGACTCGTGTCCTGGAAATGGGAAGTACAATGCCTGCAATCTAAAGGAGGGGTTCGGGATATTAGCAGTTGGAGGGATATGTTGTGTATCTTTATAGGTATATGCTTCTAAGCTGTTGTGTTCTGAGCACCTCTGCAAAAACAGTGATTATGTGTGAGGTGAGGTGAAAGTGTTGAATGATGATGAAAGTATTTTTTTGGGGGGATTTTCTTTCTTTTTTGGGTCACCCTGCCTTGATGGGAGACGGCCAACCTGTTAAAAAAAAAAATTATTATTATTATAATACATTTTTTTTAACAAGTCGGCGTCTCCCACCGAGGCAGGGTGACCCAAAAGAAAGAAAATCTCCAGAAAGAAAATAGCTTTCATCATCATTCAACAATTTCACCTCATTCACACATAATCACTGTTTTTGCAGAGGTGCTCAGAACACAACAGCTTAGAAGTATATATGTATGAAGATTCACAACATATCCCTCCAAACTGCCAATATCCCGAACCCCTCCTTTAGAGTGTAGGCATTGTACTTCCCATTTCCAGGACTCAAACCTGGCGGCTATATATAAATAACTGGTTTCCCTGAATCCCATCACTAAATATTACTCTGCTCACACTCCAACAGCTCGTCAGGTCCCAAATACCATTCGTCTCCATTCATGCCTATTGAACACGCTCATGCACGCCTGCAGCAGGCCTGTTGGCCCATGCTAGGCAGGTCCTTCACAATCCATCCTACTAACAGAATATTTGCTCAACTCAGTTTTCAATGCTACCCAAGGAATAAGCTCTGATAATTCTATTTACTCATGTGCAGGTCCCACTCACATCCAACCCCTCTCGCTCGTGTAATTATCCAATACAAATTCGAAACTCCCCAAGGTTTCAGCCTCAATAACATCACTAGGCAGTGTGTTCCACTCATCAATATAAGAAAGGAGAAACACTGCAGCAGGCCTGTTGGCCCACTAACAGAATAAACGCTACCCAAGTAATAAGCTTCAATAGTCCTATTTACTCACGTGTAAGTCCCACTCAAATCCAACCCCTCTCACTCGTGTATTTATCCAACCTTAATTTGAAACTACACAAGGTTTTGGCTTCGATACAACCTTGGGTAGTTTTAAAAAGAGATTGGACAAATATATGAGTGGGAGGGGATGGGTATGATTGGTGTCATGGGTATATAACAACATTAGAAAGGAAGAACACTGCAATAGGCCTGTTGCCCAAACTAGGCAGGTCCTTCTCAGATCCAGCCCACTAACAGAATAAACGTACCCAAGCAATAAATGTTGACAATTCTATTTACTCATCTTGACTGTGTGGTAATGGAGTTACAGGAAGCTGACATCAAAGAAATGCTGAACACTGACAATGATGCATCTATTGTGCATTCCTTGAGTGATGGTGAAATTAGAATTTTGATATATAAATAAGCTGTAGAGTTGATATTAGCATCATATTGAAGTATTTTGTCATGCCTCCCAAGAGCGGGAATTCCGTTGGAATGGATTAATGCATTTCAATTAATTTAAATAAGGAAAAGTGACTCAGCATATGAACAAATCGGGATACGAATGAGGTCACGGAATGGATTAAATTCATAAGCCAAGGTTCCACTGTATATACATTGGTGTTTTCGCCCACTTTGAACCTTGTTTTCGATCAATTCCATTGCTCCAGTGGACCAAACTCATTGCTGTTTCTCTAGAACTCCATTTGTTCCATCATGTTGCTTGAGTACAAAAAAACCACCCATTTACCGATTTCAACTACCCAATAAAATGGACAGAAATTGGCAATTTGGCCAATTTCACACAAATTTCAAAAGATGCCTATTTCAAAATAGGGTCCACAATAAACAATGCAGGCATTCCTGGCACTAAAATAACATTTTCTCTGTTCACTAGTCACATCTCCAGGCCCCTCTTATATTGCCCTTGCTTTCCATTTTGAATTTCTATTCACACAAAAAAATAGGAGATTTACTGTTATGCAGACTACTGCATTATTATATAATTGTGTAAATAATGTCAACCCATTCGTGACTGTGTATTAGACTGGCCAGTCGGACACGTATCAGACGGTGTCATTTGTTTACTCGTGAACATCTGCTACTTTGAGCTCAGTTTCAAGGTACTTTTCATCGTGAAACCAATCAAAATCATCTCTGTTTCTGTAATATTTCTTCCAGTCTATCAAATGAGACCAAGAGAAGGAGAATGCAACCATAAATACTATACGAAAATACACCTCAAATTCGGCATTTTAATCCAAAAACGCAGTATTCTTTTTTTCTTGTGCACTGCGTGCTGCAGGATTTTTTTTTATACTACACACAGACCCATTCTCTTACATGTAGATCTACCAGCTTTCTCCTACTAGATTTGAAGCTGCTAGAATTTTGGGGTATTAATACGTCACCAACACTGGCTTGTAAGCTGTACCTATACGTCACCGACAGTGAAAGGGTTAAACTCACAGGACATGCTAGATTTAAAGGAAATTCTGAAGGTACACTGTATTTCACTGTTCTTGAACTCTTTCAGGGTCCATACCCTTGATCTGAAAATTGCTCTTAGGGTCCAAGAATTTCAAAAAAAAAAAACGAAAAAAATTCTCATGAAATGATAGAGAATCTTTTTCTGAAGGTAATGAAAGGAAGGATCAAAATTTGATGGAAAATTTGCAAAATTATGTTCTCCCAAAGTTAGTGGTCTCAATGATATTTACGCATCGGCAATTTTTCCAATGTGAAATTTGAATCCTATTTGAGGCCATTTCCATTGTTCCAGTCTATTAAACTCTTAGCTATTTCACTATTATGCCTTTCCTTCTATCAATTGAGCACAAGAAACTGCCCATTTAACTATTTCAAGTACCCAATAAAGTGATCAGAAATCAGTAGTTTTGGCCAATTTCACACAAAATTAAAAAATTTCCAATTTAAAAATAGAGTACAGAATAAACAATGTAGACACTCCTGGCACTAAAATAACATTTCCTCTGTTCATTAGTTACATCCTCAAGCCTCTCCTATATTACAATTGCTTTGCATTTTGATTTTTATTCACACACAAAATAGAAGATTTACTGTTACGCAGACTACTGCATTATTTTAATTGTATTAATAATGTCAGTGCAATCATGAACGTGTATTAGACAACCAGTTGGACGTGTATCAGACGAGTGTCTTCTGGAATGTTGGGAAAAATCAAACAGTTCCACTACTTTGAACTCAATTTCAAGCTACTTTCAGAGCTGAAACCAGTCAAAATCATCTCTATTTCTGTAATCTATCTTCTATTATATCAAATGATACCGAAAATATAATCATAAAAACCATCTGAAAATATTCTGTAAAGTTGCTATTTTAAACCAAATTCATTGTCAGTTTTTTCCCATCATGCACTGTGTGCGGCAAGATTTTTTCTTATATGGTGCACACTCACTGCATAGACCCATTCTCTCGTATCTAGGCCCAAATTTACCGCTTACTGCGTATCTGAGTGAGCTGAGTTCATCACATAGTACTATGGCACAGATCCTGAGCTAAAAGCTGTAGTACTAACAGCATGAACCTTGAAAGGGTTAATTAAATCTTGAGGATGGGTTACCTTTGTACAAATTTGTGGATACTTGTGGCTTACTTTCTTAGTTTAGGTCATGAGTAAATCACATGAGTACTGTATATTCAACTTTTTTAATTAATTATTATTATTTTTAACAAATGCTTTCTTTAGTTTCAAGGTGACCAAGTACTCAAAACCTGCACCCAAAAGCAAGAAAAAGTTGGTAGAATTTGAATCTGAACAAGAAGAGAATGTTGAAAAGGAGGAAAGTAAATTGAATAAAAAGTTAAAGAAAGATAAAGTTGTAAAGAAGAAAAAGGAGGGTTTATTAGATATTAATATTGATAAAGAAGAGGATGAGGAGGATGAGGATGAGGTAGAGGAAGATAATAAGAAAAAAAAGAAGAAAGAAGGGGGTATATCTCTGAATGAGAAGATGAAGAAGCAGATTCTGATGAGCAGTGATGAAGAAGTGGAAGATGATGATGGTGATGATGATGAAGATGAGAAAGGTGTGTAAAATTTGTGATTTGTATTTTATTTTTTTCAGTAGAACATGAATATAGTAATCCAAAATATTTGTGTCTAAGCTGTGCCAGGACTACTGATAATTGTAGACATCTAATCATCGTTACTGTTATCCTCAGTTCATCTTTGTTGGGATATGTTTACTTTCCATTTATCCAAAAATTGATGATTAGCAGTCACCTCTATTCTGAATGACTGTACAGCTTTTAATGTTTTAAAAATACATTGGAACCCTGGATATAGGCTGGTGCAGAAATTGGCCAATTCAGAAAACGAGCACTTTTTCCGGCGAAATTTCCTCCCGGATTTAGGCCGTTTGCTTGGAAATCATTGGCTTAGGATGTGTCCACCCGGCCTCCAGACGTGCTACCTCTAACGTATCACAGTCATTCTCTCACGCTCTCTTGTCCAGTAAGGAGTACTCTGTGCCTTCATCCATTGTTTTTTGTGCTATTTTCATTGTTTTTTTGTGCTTGTTTATTGTTTATTGACTGTGAAATAAGACACCATGGGGCTAAAGAAAGTTCAGAGTGCCAGCCCTTAGGTAAAGAAGGTGAGAAACACAATAGAATTCAAGAAAGAACTCGTAGAATGAGTTGCAAAGTTTTGTGGAGAAATATCACTACCACCCTCTACAAAGGTAGAGGGTGGTTGTGATGGTGGTAATGATGGTGGTAAAGGATGGTAGTGATGGTGGTAAAGGATGGTAGTGATGGTGGTAGAGGGTGGTGGTGGTAGTGTTCTTGGTAGAGGGTGGTAGTGAGGGTGGTAGTGTGTGCTAGTGATGGTGTAGAGGGTGCTAGTAATTGTGGTAGAGGGTGGTAGTGATCATGGTAGAGGGTGGTAGTGATCATGGTAGAGGGTGCTAGTGATGGTGGTAAAGGATGGTAGTGGTTGATGGTAGTAGAGGGTTGTAATGGTTGTGATGGTGGTAGAGGGTGGTAGTGGTAGTGATTATGGTAGAAGGTGGTAGTGATGGTGGTAGAGGATGGTAGTGATAGTGGTAGAGGGTGGTAGTGATGGCAAACAATCGAAGATGTTGAGTTGTTGTTGTTGTTGTTGTTGGTGTGGATCAACGAAAAACATTTAGCGGGAGATAGTGCTGTGGAGGCGATAATTTGCAAAAAGGCAAGGCAGTTGCATGCGGATCTCGTGCAGAATATGCCAACAAGTCTTCAGTAAAAGTATGTGATGTTCATTTATTATTAAAATTACTGCTTTTATATTTTTTTCTCATTGTTTTCTGTTTGTAAAACTATAGATATTCTTTAAAAAATATATTTTTTTGTTAATTATTTGGGTGCCTGGAATGGATTAATTGGATTTACATTATTTCTTATTGGAAATATTACTTTGGTTTTAGGCCATTTTGGATTTAGGCCAACCTTCTGGAACGGATTACGGCCGATAACTGGGGTTCCACTGTATATCCTCAAATTAGAATTTGTGCAAAAAATAAAAAAAATTTTGGCCTCAGACAATTACCTGGCCATTTGTGTGCTTAGTAAATGATGTCTTAGGAAAGAATGTCTTCATATGTTGTTAATGCTGATTTTTCAGGTAAATTTATAATTTTTCTTTTGTAACACACATGGTGTCTCCCACCAAGGTGGGATTATCCAAATAGTAAAAATGTATTCACCATCATTAACTCAAGTGCTGCCATGTTAGAAGTGTGCTGCCATCACTATTCAGAAGTGTATGTGTAATTGTATGGGTAATTGATGACTTGTCTAGGACTTTAAACTGATAGATTATAGAGGTATTGGTGTTTGTGGGAAACAACCAGGCTGCAGTATTAGGGTTGAAAACAGCAGATATTACCAGGATACCTCAGGGATATGTTTAAAAGACAATATTCAAAATACAGTGGACCCCCGCATACCGTTGGCATCACATAACGTTTAATCCACATACTGATACATTTTATCGCTAAAATTTTGCCTCGCATACCGCTTAAAAACCCGCTCACCGCTGTTCGTCCGAGACGCGTCCAATGTGCGCCTTAGCCAGCCTCACATGTTCCGCCGGTGGCATTGTTTACCAGCCAGCCTCCGCGGTAGCATCCAAGCATACAATCGTAACATTTCGTATTAGTGTTTTTGGTGATTTTATCTGGAAAATAAGTGACCATGGGCCCCAAGAAAGCTTCTAGTGCCAACCCTACAGCAATAAGGGTGAGAATTACTATAGAGATGAAGAAAAAGATCATTGATAAGTATGAAAGTGGAGTGCGTGTCTCCGAGCTGGCCAGGTTGTATAATAAACCCCAATCAATCATCGCTACTATTGGTGGTACAGCTGCTGCTGCTGCACTGTCAGCTGCTGCTGCTGCTGTAGCATCGTCTGCTGCTGCTGTAGCATCGTCTGCTGCTGCTGTAGCATCATCTGCTGCTGCTGTAGCACTGTCAGCTGCTGCTGCTGCTGTAGCACTGTCAGCTGCTGCTGCTGCTGTAGCATCGTCTGCTGCTGCTGTAGCATCGTCTGCTGCTGCTGCTGCTGCTGCTGCTGTAGCATCGTCTGCTGCTGCTGTAGCACTGTTGTTGGTGTGGCTTATTGAGAATATACCAAGAAACAATTAACCCCAGAGGATTTGCCACCCAGGATAACCCAAAAAAGTCAGTGTCATCGAAGACTGTCTAACTTATTTCCATTGGGGTCCTTAATCTTGTCTCCCAGGATGCAACCCACACCAGTCGACTAACACCCAGGTGAACAGGGAAAAATGCCTGGAACTAGTGCTCATATTGGTGAATTTAAAGCCAGCAAAGGTTGGTTTGAGAGATTTAAGAATCGTAGTGACATACACAGTGTGATAAGGCATGTTCTGGAAGAAAATACCAAACAGGACCTACAGTACTCAGGAGGAAAAGGCACTCCCAGGACAGTGTCTCATCAGTCATTGCTGCATCTTCAATAAAGGTAAGTGTCATTTATTCTTCATTTAGTAGACTAGTACATGCACAATATACTGTGCATGTACTACTCTACTATTGTGCATGTATCCTTCTCTTTGTGTGTAGGAAAATGTATATTTCACGTGGTAAAATTTTTTTTTTCATACTTTTGGGTGTCTTGCACGGATTAATTTGATTTCCATTATTTCTTATGGGGAAAATTCATTCGCATACTGATTATTTCGCATACCAATGAGCCCTCTTGCACGGATTAAAATCGGTATGCGGGGGTCCACTGTAAAGTTGTTAGTGAAGGCAAACAAAGCGAGATAGTAGAAGGCAACGAGTGACTAGCTCCCTTAAGGTTTACTATACAAATAGTAGAAGTCTAAGAAGTAAGATAGATGAGCTATGATTACTTGCAAGTGCAGGTAATATAGATTTTTTTTTTTCAACAAACCGGCCGTATCCCACCGAGGCAGGGTGGCCCAAAAAGAGAAACGAAAGTTTCTCTTTTAAAATTTAGTAATTTTTACAGGAGAAGGTTACTAGCCCCTTGCTCCTGGCATTATGGTAATATAGATATTATTGTTATAACAGACATGGTTCAACCTGAAAGATAGAGAAATGTCTTCTGAATGCAACATACAGGGTTATAAACTATTCCACACTGATAGGGTCAACAGGAAGGGTGGTGGAGTGGAGATGTATGTCAGAGAAAATTTAAATTGTTGGCTTAAGACATGATGTAAGATTAGAAACATTGGACACAGAAACTGTTTAGCAACACTTTCTTGAGGGTCGTGACAAATTAATTTTGGGTGTGATTTATAGGCCACCAAACCTTGATAGGGAGTGCAGTAAGCTGTTATGGGATGAAATTCATATGGCATCTAGATATGAAAATGCTGTAATAATGGGAGATTTTAACTTTAGACAAATTGATTGGAACAATTTGACTGGAAATCTTGAGTCTAGTGACTTTCTCGATACTGTTCAGGATTGCTTTTTAAAACAGTTTGTGACAGAACCAACTAGAGGAAACAATCTTCTTGACTTGGTTCTTGCCAACAAAGAATCACAAATTAATAATCTTGAGGTTAATGATGAGCTTGGGGAAAGCGATCACAAATCACTTGATTTCAATATATCATGAAATTACCCAGATAACTGCAACCAAATCTGTCCCAGACTTTCGCTTGGTCGATTTTATGGGACTGAAAAATTACCTGGGTGGGCTAAATTGGGATGTCCTGACTGTGGGTCAGGTAGGTAGTCTTGGTTGCCAATATGACGTTTTTCAGAGCATAGTTCTAGCTGCCCGGACAACTTTTGTTCCGAGTAGGGAAATTAGATCTAACAAAAATGATCCCAGATGGATGAACAATAGATTAAAACATCTCATTGGTCCAAAGAGAAGCATATACAGTGGAACCTCAAATTTCGAACGTATCACTTATCGAACGCTTCAAAAATAGAACCCTTTTCTTGAATCAGCTTTGTCCCTATTATCGAATGCGCCCCTATTTTCGGACCGCCGGGTAACGGACCTGTCCGCCAGCCCGCTCTGTCCGCGTTGTCCGCAGGCGCCGTGAGCCAATCTGGCTTTGTTGATGTTTGAGTGAACACTAACCTGCACTTTCATTCAAACATTTTATGATTATTTCATTGCGTTTAGTGCTTGTGGGACTGTGAAATAAGCTACCATGGGCCCAAAGAAACTTGCTAGTGGTACCCCTGTGTTAACGAAAGTGAGAAACACCATAGATGTGAAGAAGGAAATAATACAGAAGTATGAGAGTGGTGTGAGACTTGCTTAGCTTGCCAGGATGTATGGGAAAAAACAAGTCGACCATTGGTTCTATCCTGGCAAAGAAAGAACAAATGAAGGAACCTGATGTTGCGAAAGGTGTTAGTATGCTAACCAAAAAAAGACCACAAATAGTTGAAGAGGTTGAGGAGTTGTTGCTGGTTTGGATCAAGGATAAAGAGATGGCAGGTGATAGTGTTTCAGAGACGATTATTTACGAAAAGGCAAGGAAGTTGCATGCCGATCTGATACAGAAAACTCCTGGAACCAGTTCAGT